AATGCCGAGAACGCCATCGAGGCTCTGAAGGAGTACGAGCCCGAGATGGGCAAAGTTTACCCCAAAAATCCCTCCAAAAATCCCCCCCAAAAAATCCTCTCAAAAAATCCCAAAAAAATCCTAAAAAATCAAAAAAAATCCCAAAAAAATCCCAAAAATTCCAAAAAATTCCCAAATATCCCAAAAGCTTCCAAAAAGTCCTCAAATCCCCCGAAAATGTCAAAAAAAATTTTTAAATCCTTAAAAAATCCTTAAAAAATCCTTAAAAAATCCTTAAAAAATCCAAAAAAAATCCGAAAAATTCCCAAAAAATCCCCAAAATTCCCAAATATCCCAAAAGTCTCCAAAATGTCCTCAAATCCCCCGAAAATGTCAAAAAAAATTTTTAAATCCTTAAAAAATCCTTAAAAAATCCTTAAAAAATCCTTAAAAAATCCAAAAAAAATCCAAAAAAAATCAAAAAAAATCAAAAAAAAATCGGAAAAATTCCCAAAAAATTCCCAAAATTCCCAAAATTCCCGGAATTGTCCCCAGGAGCGGAATGCCGAGAACGCCATCGAGGCTCTGAAGGAGTACGAGCCCGAGATGGGCAAAGTTTACCCCAAAAATCCCTCCAAAAATCCCCCCAAAAAATCCCCTCAAAAAATCCCAGAAAAATCCTAAAAAATCAAAAAAAATCCCAAAAAAATCCCAAAAATTCAAAGAAATTCCCAAATATCCCAAAAGCCTCCAAAATGTCCTCAAATCCCCCGAAAATGTCAAAAAAAATTTAAAAATCAACAAAAAAAATCCTTAAAAAATACAAAAAAATCCTTAAAAAATCCTTAAAAAATCCTTAAAAAATCCTTAAAAAATCCTTAAAAAATCCAAAAAAAATCCGAAAAAAATCCGAAAAATCCCAAAAAATCCCAAAAATTCCCAAAAATTCCCAAATATCCCAAAAGCCTCCAAAATGTCCCCAAATCCCCCGAAAATGTCAAAAAAATTTTAAAAATTGACAAAAAATCCTTAAAAAATCCTTAAAAAATCCTTAAAAAATCCAAATAAAATCCAAAAAAAATCCAAAAAAAATCCGAAAAATTCCCAAAAAATTCCCAAAAAATTCCCAAAATTCCCAAAATTCCCGGAATTGTCCCCAGGAGCGGAATGCCGAGAACGCCATCGAGGCTCTGAAGGAGTACGAGCCCGAGATGGGCAAAGTTTACCGCAGCGACCGCAAAGCCGTGCAGAGGATCAAGGCCAGGGACCTGGTGCCGGGGGACATCGCCGAGGTGGCAGGTCAGGGGTCAGCCAGGGGTCAGCCAGGGGTCACTCAGGGGTCACGGGGTCACCCTGAGGTCACTGGGGTCACTCAGGGGTCACGGGAACATTGGGGTCACTCAGAGGTCACGGGGTCATCCAGGGGTGACTGGGACATTGAGGGCGCCCAGGGGTCACTGAGAGGTCACGGGGTCAGCCAGGGGTCACTCAGAGGTCACGGGGTCACTCGGGGGTCACGGGGTCACCCTGAGGTCATTGGGGTCACTCAGGGGTCACGGGAACATTGGGGTCACTCAGAGGTCATGGGGTCACCCAGGGGTCACGCAGAGGTCACGGGGTCATCCAGGGGTCACTCAGGGGCCATGGGGTCATCCAAGGGTCACCTAGAGGTCATGGGGTCATCCTGGGGTCACTCAGGGGTCACTGAGAGGTCACGGGGTCATCCTGAGGTCACTGGGGTCACTCAGGGGTCACTCAGGGTTCACCTAGAGGTCACGGGGTCACCCAGGGGTCACTCAGGGGTCACTTTGGGTCACTCAGGGTCATTCAGGGGTCACTCAGGGGTCACTTGGGGGTCACCGAGAAGCTCTCGGGGACACCCAGGGGACAAAGAGTGACCCCAGTGACCCCTCCGTCCTTCCCAGTCCCTCCCAGTCCCTCCCAGTCCATCCCAGTCCATCCCAGTCCCTCCCAGTCCATCCCAGTCCATCCCAGTTCCCTCTCAGTCCCTCCCAGTCCCTCCCAGTGACCCCAGTGACCCCTCCCAGTCC